AAATGATATTAAACTGATTGATATTTTGGATATGACATCAAAAGAACAGGCAACAAAAACAAAAACAGAAAATGAGACTGCAAGCAAACGAAAAAGTTGTTATAACCTAAGGGAACAACAGAGTGAAAAGGCAATCTATAAAGATTGAGAAAATGTTTGCAAACAATATATTACATGAAGTTAATATCAAAAAATTATAAAGAACTTTCAAAACTCCAACAAAAATAGGTCAATTTTTTTAATGCACAAAGGACTTGAATAGACATTTGTTAGTGATGTTTACAAAACAATGTAAATATACTTAATGTCACTGAACTATACACTTAAAATGGTTAAAATGATAAATTTTGTTATATTTTCCATATTAAAAAATATCAAGAGAGGGACAAAGTAAAATTGGCGGGAAAGAGGTGCAAAATTAGCTGATGAACATAGAGCTGAAGTCAATGTTTCCCTTTCTGGTTCAAGAGTGTTCCACTTCTGTTTAAGGCAAAGTCTGAGAAGAAAGAAAGGTGATTCTGAGAAGAGTTGCAGTTAGCTCTTCATCATCTCAGAAGCTGAGAAGCCTCCTTTCCATATTTTTTAATATTTTATTTTATATAATTCTTACATTATTTTTCATTTTTGCACAATGTATGCATTTTCATTTTGGTTATATTCCCCATACAATTGCACTCCCCCCTTATTTTGACCCTAATCCTTCTTCTCTCCGCCCTCCACCCCGTAGTGTGTCTCTGGTTTATAGTTGCTTGTTGATTTTGATTTTTACTTTGTATTAATTACTCTTTTTCCTGGTCCCTTATTTAAGTCTTCTAAATTCCTGCTATGAGTGAGACCATCCGGTATTTTTCTTTTTCTTTCTGACATATTTTGCTGAGCATGATCCCTTCTAGCTCCATCCATGTTGCTGCAAACTGCATGTGTTCATCTTTTTTGATTGCTGAGTAATATTCCATTGTGTATATGTACCACATCTTCTTGATCCAGTCATCTATCTTTGGGCATTTGGGTTGCTTCCAAAGCTTAGCTATTGTAAATAGTGCTGCTATAAACATAGGGGTGCAGGTGCCCTTTGGAATTAATGTTTCTGTATCATTTGGGTAAATACCTAGGAGTGGAATTGCTGGATCATATGGAAGCTCTATCATTAGTAGGTTTAGGAATCTCCATATAGCTCTCCATGTGGTTGGACAAGTTTCTCTATTCTCTCTATTAATGTCTTTATCCTCGAGTACTTGAAAAAGTGTGATTTTTCTCAGTGACTGCTGTGGGAAAGCATAGTACTTTAATCTTAATGATTCCCTTTTTGTAGGGTAGAAAGAAAACTTGTATTACCCAGAATGCTTCATGAGAATCTATCATTTAGTTAGTCATCCTAAAAGTTGATATGTCTATGATTTTAAATTATTGAATATTTGCTTGCAGAGAATCCTGCCATTGAAGCACCTTCAGTCATTAGTAACATAGTCACAATCTTCCTAGATAATGTAACACAAAACTTGAGGACTGCCCCCTTCAGTTTCAAGCTTAGCATGACCAAAAGCAGTCATGCTTTCAGAGAGAAATGTATTCTCTGAACTCTGACTGATGCCAAAAGCCACTCCAAACCTACTCCAAGGTCACCAACATAAACATAAGCAACAAAGCCCTATAATAAACTTTCCAATGTACTCCTCCCAACTCTCATCCTAAACTTTAGCCAGAGACAGGTGTTGAACCAAAGTTCAACTGCATGACTAAGGCTCCCCTCTAATGATGTTTGTTGGTGCCAAGTGAAAGTAAATAGAAGACCTTAGTTGATGCTTCAGCATAGATTACAATGGGCCAATTACGAATTCTCTGAGGACCTTAGAGGTCAGCACATTCCCAAATACTACATGTTGTGAAAGGCTATTTAAACATTTTTCCAGAGTAAATGGAAAATAATTACAAAGGACTTTGAAGTAAATGACAATAGCTGAGCCATGGTTCAATAAGATGAAGATTTGTTTGGGAGACATTGCTCTGTTTAGTGTAGGTCAGAAGTAAGGTTTAAACCAGGAATAAAAGGAATTCTCTCCACATTAATCAACGGTTTTGTGGAAAACCAAATTTTGGGAGAATTGATTTGAGAAAATAATGACTAATCAAGTGGTTTGACATACTTTTATACATATTTTAGTTCCATATAGTAGCTCTTCCTGATTTGAAAGGTTTTTCACTGTTCCCAATTTAATTTGAATAGACCATAGTTCTAACTGGAAAAAAATAAAGTTTTAAAAATGAGTTTAAAGTTTCAGAGGAAAGTAAAAACTAAGTAAAAAATAATATCCTAGAGCTCTGGAAGAAAACAATTCATTTTCTGAGCAAATCCATGCTGAACAAAATATTCTAAAAGGTCCAAGATTGGGAAAGTAGTCTAGAGAGGTAAGAATTCCAGAGTTTCACTATTCATGGATTCCATTTGCAGCTCTGTGACATCCGTCCTGAGGGGAAGCAAGAAATGATTCTTCTCTAAAACTGAGGAATGAACCATCAACTAGATCCAGGTCAGTGACAACAAAATCTTTGTTCACACATCTAATGCTGATTAACTTAATTTATTTTTGCTGAATTTTTTGTGTGTCTAGATTCTGTGAAAGGATATTCTTTCTCTAGAAAGAAATGTGCATGCAATGCCTTGAAAATACGTACAGAGAGAAAGCATTATCTTTATTGCTGCCAGAAGAGAAGCTACTAAAAATTATGAAACATCATGATTATCATTTATATCTCACTAAATAGATTAATTCATAGATTTGTTTGCAGTGATTTCAAATTCTTTCTCCTTTTCATGATTTTCAATTCACCCAACTGAAATTATAAAGGATGGAAACAAATGTACTAAGAATGATTAACCACACAGACACCGTTTATAAAGGTCATAGAGAAAGAAAACTCAGAGGCTGAGATTTTCTGAAAACTAAGAAACCTTTCTTCATCATTACTGAAAGAAAATGGTCATAATTCTGACTTCTTAGTCCATGAAATTTGGATAAAAAATACATAAATATGTTTTTGGTGGGGATTCTAATCATAAAAGGAGAAATAGAAGAGAAGGAAAATATATTATGTTCTGTAATTATAGGAACTAACTCTTGAAACTCCAAAAGCATACCCCAAAACACACTCTTATATATGTTCAATATTTCCACTAGTTAGCAATGAAAACTTTTCAAGTTGATCTAAATAGGTTAAGCTATGATTTAAAAAGTGACTTGCCAAAAGGGAGAATTTACATTATCTCAGTTAACCCTAATATTTCTGTCTTCTCTCTCAATTAGAAACCCAGGGATATTTCAAAACTCACTGAATTTCAATTACAATGAGAGTAGGATTATATATCTAATCTTGAATATCATGCACTATGTGCTGAAAGTTTATTTACACGGAAAATTCATTTAATACATACTGAGAAATTCTGGGCGGTCGTTGAACCACTTACAGGTCCACATACAAAGATACTCAAAGATGAAATCAAAGACTCACATTGGGCCAGATACAGCATTCAGAGCATTGAGTGAATGACCTTCAGTCAGCTATTAAAATGGTAATAGCTATGATGATAAACATTCCTTGGAATTTCAAATGAAAAAATATTCCATGTGCAGCCATTCTTTATCTGTGTGTGCTTGTGCATCACTGTGACAGAAAGGAGTAATAGCTTAGAAAACAGAGCTGGAATAAATAAAGGATTAGCACTATGATTTATGACTTTTTTTTCTATCTGAAATTTTTATTGAGTTGGTATCCATTAAAGTCCTATAATTGACAAACTCCACATACTTTTATCATCATTTTATCATCTTACCAAGATTAAATGGGTAAAGTTTGTATGATTTGCTTTGGCATGGTTTGTAAACATTTGTTTCCTTTTTTGTTTGATTTCGTTTTCCTTCGGTGTTATTTCTTTGGAAATATTCCTAGAAGTAGATTATACAGGTCAAAGATATAAAAAACTATAATAACTACCAAATGTTTTCCAGAAGGAAAACACAATTTTAAAAACTACCTATAACGTACTCTTGCCATGTTCACATCACTCCCACTAACATATTCATTATATCACATTTGTCATTATTTTAATGGGAATATATAGTACCTAAAGTTCTTTGAATTTTAATCACTGGTCATGCAGAACATTATTCCTTGCGATGACTGTTCTATTTTTCTAAATATATAAATATCACTTACTGACAAACAGTAACTAGTGATCTTTTGTGATACATGACTGACTTTTAAAAGAAAGTTGTGATCATATAACTATGATAGTTGTGTCCAATGATATATGTGTCATTAGACACATATAACTTCAAAGTAACTGTTATTCATGTAATTGTTCAAAATATGAAAGAAAGCCAAGTAGAAGATTTTTAGAGCTAGCAAGTCTGAAAGTGAATAGCAGTCAACATTCATAGTAATACCTTGTTTTTTGTATGGTATTTGTAAGAGTTTGTCACTATTCAAATAATAGGAAGTAGGAGAAATTTAACTTCCTTTCATCTTTTAATACTTTCTGCATAATGGCTGAGTTCAGTAAAAAGTGTATATCCACCAGGGCCTCCCCAGTGGCAGAGTGGTTGAGCGCTGGGTTGCGAAGCTGCCGGCAGCCTCTGCAGTGCCAGTTTTGATTCCCAGCTGCCATGTAAGTGTCTCAGATGGCAGGCAGACCTCTCCTCTTGCCCTCTGCTCCCCTCAGCATTGTACTTCGTCAGTCTGCCTGCTCTGCTCTCTGCTCTAAATCTGGTGAATTCTCTCACCCTTCCGCACTTCTGACTATACCCAGTGCTTGTATGAATGAATGAATGAATGAATGAATGAAAAAATAAAGGATAACGGGGGAAAAAAGTGTACATCCACCAAACTCAGGGGTGAGGATTATTTAGTCAATGAACTATTTTACTATTGATTTAAAATCTCCTCATTAAAAAATACTGTGATCTTTCTAGATGGACCACAAGACCACAAGCCAAGCTGAATCAATGCAAAGAATGAACAATGTAACAGAGTTCATCCTACTGGGCCTGACCCAAAATCCAAAACTGCAGAAACTCTTACTTTCTGGGTTTTTAATCACCTATGTGATTACTCTGGCAGGTAACCTGCTTATCTCATTCACCATCTTCGTCACCCCAGCTCTAGGTTCTCCCATGTACTTTTTTCTGTGCTATTTGTCCATCATAGATGGTTTCTACTCATCTTCCATAGCTCCCAAAATGATATTTGGCTTCATCAGTGAAAAGAACACGATATCCTTCAATGGCTGTATGACTCAGCTCTTTGCTGTACATTTATTTGCTGGAGCTGAGATTGTCTTGTTAATTGTCATGGCCTATGACCGCTATGTGGCCATCTGTAAGCCGTTGCATTACAGGACCATCATGAGACAACCTCTGTGTGTTTTCCTGGTGGGAACGGCTGGATTTGTAGGGTTTCTTCATGGAGGAATTCAAGTTTTACTCTTGGTCCAGTTACCATTCTGTGGCCCCAATGTCATTGACCACTTCATGTGTGACTTAATTCCTGTCCTGAAACTAGCCTGCACGGACACTCACATTTTGGGACCCCTCATTACTGCCAACAGTGGCTCAATGTGTTTGCTCACTTTTTCCATGCTACTTACTTCCTATATTGTCATCCTGCACTCCCTGAGGAATCACAGTGCAGAGGGGCGTCGCAAAGCCCTGTCTACCTGTGCCTCTCACGTCACTGTGGTCATCTTGTTCTTTGTACCTTGTTCATATTTGTACCTAAGACCCATGATCTCCTTCCCCACTGACAAAGCTGTCATGGTGTTTTGCACCGTAGTAACTCCTATGTTGAACCCCTTAATCTATACCTTCAGAAATGCAGAAATGAAAAATGCCATGAAGAAACTCTGGAGGCAAATAATGAAGAAACTCTGCAGGTAAATAAATCCTGTGAGTTCAGAAAAAAGAATCTAGTGATGGGCCCTCCCCGGTGAAAAGGGATTAAAGACAGTGCTATCCAGGTATCTCCAGCCACTGCAGCACAGGATTGATTTCCTGGCCGGCCAGAGAGGTGACACACATGGCACAGCAGACCTCTCCTGTGTCACCCGCTGCTCCCCTCAGCAGTGTATTTCAATAGATCTGCCTGTTCTACTCCCCACTCTGTCTCTAGTGAATCCTCTCAACCCCCACACCTCTGGCTTATACCCCAGTTCTTGAATGCATAAATAATCTTTTTGAAAAAGAATCTAGTGATATTTCATAGAGACTTATTCTCCTTCTTAAAATTATCAACAATTCCATATGTATCAAGTGGAGGATGGGGTGATATATTTTGTAAGATACAGTTGACACAGTGTATGGAGTCCAGCATAATTTAGAAGCTGCTAAATATCTTAATTTCTTTTAAAGTAAGAAGAAAAATGAATATTGTTGAAATCCAACTTTTTACACAGTAATCTTTATACAAATACAGTCTAACTTACCAAACAAAATGAAGGACATGGAGAAGGGAGGTGGAGAAAGACATGACAAAGACAGGAAAGGTCTACCAAAACACTGATAGTGATTATTCTAGGTGACAGGCTTTTACATTAACATGTACATGTGCATACACACACACACACACACACACAAACACAAATATATACAAAATATACATTTCATTTCCTTACAATTCAGATTTCTTAAATTAATATGTACTTGGTAGTAATATATTTAACAAAAAATCCAAAGTGGACACACCACTACTTTGATATACAAGACTAATAATTGTTTGATCAAATATAAAAAGAAAACTCCTGGTGCTATCTGCTTCTGTGTTCATTCTAGGAGGTTAAATTCCAAAAACAAGCAGCATTCACAAGTTAGTCAAGCCACTGCTTATCAGAATTTTAACAACAAAAAAACAGGGTGTACCAGCCCTTTCGGCTGTTTGCTATTTAACCTTTTTTGGATAAATCTCTCTTATTTCAAATGTCAGTGACAGAATTTCCTGTTTGAGTTATCCTGGAAAAACAATATTATTCTGTCCAAAGAAATGATCATCTGAGAAAACAATTCCTCTCCATTTTCATTTGAATTGCATTTTTCATTTACTGGATGCTAAAAGCAGAAAACAGAAAGCCTGCACTGAATGTTTATGAGGATGCCAACAGATGGCCAAGTGCTTTGGTTTTGTGTTTTACACCCTACGTCATGGAATGGTGGACCTGGAAGAGTTCTGAAAGGGTCATCTAGATCTACTCCAAGTTTCATTGTTTCAAGGGATTAAACTCCTGGGTGTGATTTTAATTGTTATTCACATTGAGGCAAAGTGAGGATTGGAAAGGTGCTACTGATTACAGAAACTCATGATCTGAAAGAGTCATACAACATTAGGAAGTGAAAACCCAAAGGAGAGACATTCATTACAAGCAACTGGGAATTGTGCCATCACCCACTTCTCTTTGCTGAAGAGCCCTGTGTTATTTTAAATCATAACTTTCCAATCTCTCCATGTTTATGATGGTATGAAGAGGGGTTTAGACTCAGAGATATTAGGTGCAACTGGTCCAATGTCAACTCAGTGAGTCATGCCAGGCGGGTGGCTGTATCAGGTCACTACTCACTCCACCTGTGCCCTTCCCAGTACAACCACAACCTATCACTCTCAGCTATTTCTGTCCTTGATAATCAACAAAAAACGTGCTGAGGAATTCTGGGAAGCAGCTCACAGAAGGAGTAGCTGGCTTATTATCTCTGCTTTCTGCTTACTAAATATTCAGCAGCACAGTCTAAGAGAAAATCTTCTTCACGCCACTAAAAAAATGTAATTTATAAATGGGAATGAGAAAGTAGGGATGCTTTCTATTTCTCAAGAAGAATAAATTTCCCTGGTCAAGAGGATCACTTGCTGAAGCAGTTTTGGAGCTAACTTTTACCCCATTTACAGGTTAGAACAATGTTGATGTCATCTCTACATTAGCCCCTTTGAATATATTTGGGACTCACAAGGAAAGCTCTTATTTCTATCTCCAGTAAGTACCCAATATCCTTCGAAAGACTACAGAGGTCCACATTTTGTCAGGGAAGAAGTTAGAATTTTCAGAAACTGATACTGGAAGGTGAGTGTCTCAGGGAAATCCTTTGGCTAAACAAAAACATGAACAAAATACCGTCTAGTAAGCAGCTTCTGTGCTCTGGGCATGGGTCTAGGTCTTACACTTACATCAATTATTTCATTTCCCTCCATAAAGCTGAAGGAAAAATTTAATTTTCCTTTATCCTCCCCTCTACGGTCTGGTGAGCTAAAAGACGGAGGAATCTACAGTCAGAATGACCTGAATCAAGTTGCACTTCCACCATTTCAATATTCCATACAGGTACTACCTAATCAAAGACAACAAGTTGATATATCCCAGGAACATCATAGTGCACATGACAGACAATGGCCTGGAAGCATGGAGCTTCTAGTCTAAAAGGGCAGTAGCTACTGCCAAAACATACCAAGGGAGGAAATAAACTAAATCACTACAAAGTAAAATATACAGAATTGCTGGGATATTCTTATATATACATCATTTTTAGAGTTAATAAATATGGACAGGATATACATGTTTAATGAATATTCATATTAAGTAGTGACTTTGCACCACAAAATGTGTAAACATTTACATTTCCAACTCTGTTTAGTTAGGTGCACAGCAATCTGCAATAATAAAGGAATTCTATTTAAGTCTCCTAGAACTTGTTCCCTAAAAACCTTAAGAAAAGCCACAAAATAAGGATTTGGTATGCTAAAAATTCATGTCTCAAAATTCAAAAACCCATCCACAATGTTGAACACTTCTACTGCAATTCTGAACCCACACATCTTCCAATTCTTGTCGAGAATGATAAAAACAACCTTAACTTTCTTCAAATTACTGTAATAGGAAGGATAATGTCTGAGGGAAAAAATGTATGGCATTAACTATAGTTTGCTCCCCTTGCATTCTGTAACCTTTAATGGATCTTTATCTGTTATAAAATATCAATAAATGATGACTATCTTACAATTAAAAACCTCCCTGTATGTACAAATCATGTATAAAGAACACATTGTAAATCAACATAAAAATGTATGAACATATAGTATATCTCTAAGTTTATGCATCGGCACAAGAATTTCTGTAAAACTTCAGGTACAGATTATAAAATCATTAGATCAGGCAATGAAAATACTTAAATCAACAGACCAATCAGCTAAGTATTTTTGTTGACACTATATAGTTTTTTGTTTATTGTTTTTTAAATTTTATTTTTATATTCCCCATACAATTGCAACCCCCTTATTTTGACCACATTCCCTCCTTTCCCCGCCCACTCCCCATAGTGTGTCTCTGGTTCATAGTTGTTTGTTGATTTTGATTTTTTCTTTCTTGTATTATTCTTTTTCCTGGTCCCTTATTTAGGTTTTCTAGATTCCTGCTATGAGTGAGACCATCCGGTACTTTTCTTTTTATTTCTGGCTTAATTCGGTGAGCATGATCCCTTCCAGCTCCATCCATATTGCTGCAAATTGCATGAGTTTATCCTTTTTGATTGTTGAGTAATAATCCATGGTGCATATGTACCACATCTTCTTGATCCAGTCATCTATTTTTGGGCATTTGGGTTGCTTCCAAAGCTTAGCTATTGTAAATAGTGCTGCTATAAACATAGGGGTGCAGGTGCTCTTTGGAATTAATGTTTCTGTGTCCTTTGGGTAAATACCTAGGAGTGGAATTGCTGGATCATATGGAAGCTCTATCTTTAGTAGGTCAAGAAATCTCCACACAGCTTTCCACAGTGGTTGGACCAGTTTGCACTCCCACCAACAGTGCAGGAGAGTTCCTTTTTCTCCACATCCTCGCCAACATTTGTTGTTGCTAGTTTTTTAATATGTGCCATTCTCATTGGTATGAGAAGGTATCTCATTGTAGTATTGATTTGCATTTCCCTGAGAAGTCCTAGCTAGAGCAATAAGACAAGAAAAAGACATACAAGGAATCCAAATAGGTAAGGAAGAAGTCAAACTATCACTATTCGCAGACGATATGATAATATACATAGAGAACCCCAAAAACTCCACAGAAAAACTGATTAAACTAATCAATAGGTTTAGTAAAGTTGCAGGATACAGAATCAAGGCACAAAAATCAGTAGCCTTCCTATACACAAACAATAAATCTGAAGAAGAAGAAATCAAGAAAACCATTCCTTTTATTATTGAAACAAAAAAAAAATCAAATACTTGGGAATAAACCTAACAAAAGAAGTAAAGGACCTATACAAAAAACAAAAAACAAAAAAAAAAAAAAAAAATAAAACACTGTTAAAAGAAATAGAAGTAGACACAAAGAAATGGAAAGACATCCCCTGCTCATGGATCAGAAGAATTAACATTATCAAAATGACACGGTATAGTTTTAATCCCAACTACTATAACCGAGTAGGTTGATTCTTGTGAGAGTTAGAGCTCATCCAGAGAGGAATGTGCTTTGAGGAATGAAAGCCAGAAGGCAGGACTCATCCCAACATGAATGTTGCCAGGTTGCACCATTAGAGGGCACCATTTACATTGTAATCTGAACTCTTTCAGAATAAACTATTTTCTTGAAGGATCAGAAGAGGATCCTTGCTTGATTCATGGAGGAATGATCTGAAAGTTAATCCAGAGGCACTATATCCAGAGGGCCCTGGGACACACCAGGTGACACAGTGGAGACTAAACACGGACTGCACCAGAGGGACACTGAGACTCAGATGGGAGGTTGTAGTACAAAGTGTGACACTGAGCTAGGCCCACAGAACTGGGAGGGGAGAACTGCATGGTGCAGAGGAACACACCTTGATCGAGGGACTTCGATTGAGTTAGAAATCCCAAACTGTAAGGTCAGTCTTTTTACAAGATATACCAACTTGGATACAACATGGGG